AAACCCTAAACCCTAAACCCTAAACCCTAAACCCTAAACCCTAAACCCTCGGAGGGGGGGGAGCGGACAGGTGACTCGCTGCTCACAGGGGATAGACTGCCCTGATGTTAGGAAGATAGATATATATTTTTATTTATTTTATTTATTTTTATTTATTTTTATTTATTTTTTTATTTTCTCTTTATTTCAGCTGTATGTACACCGCAAGTCCTTCATCTCTCGTCGCCTATTATCACCATCTTCTAGGGTTTAGGGTTTAGGGTTTAGGGTTTAGGGTTTAGGGTTTAGGAGTAGGGGTTATTTTTAGGGTTTAGGGTTTAGGGTTTAGGAAGACAAACAAAACCATCAAAAAACGAGGATAAAATGTATTATTTTCATTTCTAGGGTTTAGGGTTTAGGGTTTAGGGTTTAGGGTTTTTAGGGTTTAGGGTTTTGCTTGAGTACCAGGCGGCTCCCCACGGAGTCACTTCTATTACTAGGGTTTAGGGTTTAGGGTTTAGGGTTTGTGTTTGTTTTCTTTTTTTTTATATTTTTTTTATTTTTTTTTTTAATAAAAACTAAAACCCTCTGCATGCGGTCTTGCTGCAGCCTCCTCTCAGGTGTATCGACACCTCACCAGGGTCACTCTCTGTGCTGCTGCTGCTAGCTAGCTAGCTAGCTAGCTAGCAAGCTAGTTAACAACCCAGCTAGCTAGCTAGCTAGCTAGCTAGCTAGTTAGATAGCTAGCTAGCTAGCCAGCTAGCTAGACAGGTAGCTACCTAGCTAGCTAGCTGGGTTCTGTGTCTGAGGGGGGCTCAAGAGTTATTATATAATAATAATATTATATAACCCCTAACCCCCTCTCATTATATAATATATATATAATATATATATATATATATATATATATATATATGTATATATAATATATTATTATATTATTATATAATAGTATAAACAGAAGAAGTATATTAAACGATGAAGGGGAAAGGAGACAGCAGCATGAAGGCCCTGCTGGGGTTGGTGATAAAGAAAGGAGACAGCTGAGACAGACTCTGCTGCAGTGGCTAGGGTTTAGGGTTTAGGGTTTAGGGTTTGGGGTTGTGCTGTCTGTTGAGCCCCTACACTCGCTCGCTCATTTGCTTTAATTTGAAGGCTCCAAACCCTTTTCTAGGGTTTAGGGTTTAGGGTTTAGGGTCTAGGGTTTAGGGTCTAGGGTTTAGGGTTTAGGGTTTAGGATAGATAGAGTATAAAAAGGAGACAGTAAGAAAAGGAGACAGAACCTCCTCTCTGTTGTTGCGTTTTCTCTGCTGCTGCAGCTGAGGGGAAAGGAGACAGAATGTGTCTCCTTTTTGTCTCCTTTTTGTTTTTTTTGTCTCCTTTTTGTCTCCTTTTTGTCTCCTTTTTGTCTCCTTTTTGTCTCCTTTTTGTCTCCTTTTTGTCTCCTTTTTGTCTCTTTTTTGTCTCCTTTCTGTCTCCTTTCTGTTTCCTTTTTGTCTCCGTTTGATTCGCTTTCATCTTAGCATTGAAAAGACAGCCTAGGGTTTAGGGTTTAGGGTTTAGGGTTTAGGGTTTAGGGTTTCAGGTTAAAAGAGCAGCAGCAGCTGCTGCTGTTGCTACGACTGCCTCTCTCTTTGGAGACAGCAACTTGAGGGCCCCAAACCCTTTTCTAGGGTTTAGGGTTTAGGGTTTAGGGTTTAGGGTTTAGGGTTCTCGAGGGGGCGAGTTTGCGCCCACAACACAACCCCTAAACCCTAGCTAAACCCTAAACCCTAAACCCTAAACCCTAGAAAACCCTCAACGCTGCGCAACAAACCCGTCCGTTTTGTTTATATTGTTCTGTTATATTTCACTGTGTTAGGGTTTAGTATTGTTTAGGGTTTAGGGTTTAGGGTTTAGGGTTAGAAGAGGAGCAGCGCGACTGCAGCAGCAGCAGCAGCAGCAGCAGCAGCAGCAGCAGCAAAAGGAGACACCGCAGCAACCCCACTCAAATCTACCCCCTTCTCCTTTCTCTCCAGCAGCGACGCGTACTGCTCAGCCCTGCAGCAGCAGCANCACTCAAATCTACCCCCTTCTCCTTTCTCTCCAGCAGCGACGCGTACTGCTCAGCCCTGCAGCAGCAGCAACACAACAAAAAAAAATACTACTCCTGCTGCTGCTGCTGCTGCTGTTGCTGTTGCTGCTGCTGCTGCTGCTGTTGCTGCTGCTGTTGCTGTTGCTGCTGCTTGTGCATATATATATTCGAAGCAGCCGCAACAGCAGCAGCAGCAGCAGAAGCAACAGAAGCAGCACCAAACGACAACAGCAGCAGCAACAGCAGACGCAGTAGCAGACACAGCAGCAACAACAGCAACAGCAGCAGCAGCAGCAACAGCAGCAGCAGCAGCAGCAGCAGCAGCAGCAGCATTTCTTACGTGAATATTTGTTGTCCCTCTGTGGGGGGGGGCTCAACGAAGCAAACTAAGAAATTCAGTTGGGGGCAGCCATGAGAGAAAGCGCAGCCAACTCTGCTGCTGCTGCTGCTGCTTCTGCTGCTGCTGCTGCTGCTGCTGCTGCTGCTGCTGCTGCTGCTGCTGCTGCTGGTGTTGCTGCTAGACAGCAGCACAGCGCAGGACCACGCAGACGGAGAAGACCACGCACTGTTCTCCTCATCGAAGGCGGGGGG